TAAAAAAATGTTATTTTCAAAATGCCAAGACAATGTTGAGTGTGCGGAAAACTGGGTAACTAGGGACGCAATTTTGGTAAGTGGTGGAGGTGGTGTGTGTAGATGACATGGCGGGACCCACATGTCAGTAATAGCTGAGGCAAAAACTAGATATTTTTCAACTGGAATCGAACCCGAACAATACATTTTTTGGGTGAGATGGCTGTAGCGGCCGGGCTACTGCGGTATGTTCAAAAGAATGAAGGCACACTTTTTCACTACTCTAAGGTGTCTTTCGCAGCTCCGGTTTGTTCCCGTCCGTGTCCACAACGTCGTCGTCCGGCTTTGTGCGCTCGCCACGGCGTCGCCGTCTGTCGTTGTCAAAATGGTCAACAAATGAGAGGAATCTGGAGAGGACTGCACATCGAGAGGCTCACAGTCGGAACCCACCAGGTCCATGGACGTACACAAAGAAGTGCCTCATTTGAGAAAAATGCTTCCTCCTAACTGTATACCGCGCTTAGGGCCCACAAGTTTGTCAACCTAGTTAACAAACGAAATAAATATACAACGAAGACTGTCGGCCTAGGTTTTGTTTTTTTGACATGCACAACCCATAACATACCGACATAGTGGTTTCGACTTATCTTTGGAGGCTATCATGTATGTACCGGCATATGGGCCTCCTAGCCTAAGTTCTATTTTTTCTTAAACATTGCCACCCCATTTTTTTTAATAAACACAAATCGTTGTTTCTTTCGATTTTGCTAAAATAATCATGAATTTTAAAAAGTCCATTGATTTTTAAAACAGTTAATCAATTTCTAAAAAAAGTTCACAAAAAATTAAATAATGTTCATAGATGTTTTAAAAGTTCAAAATTCAGAGAAAGTCCTTAAATTTTGAAAAACTTCACGTATTAAAAATAATTCACAGGATTTTGAAACAAGTTCACCGGTTTTGATAAAAAAAAGTCATGAATTTGGAAAAAGTTCAAGATTTTCTTAAAAAAATATGATTTTCTAGAAGTTCAAAGTTTTAAAAAAGTTCACTGGTTTTGATAAAAAAAAGTTCATGAAATTGAATAAAAATTCATGGATTTTCAGGAAAACTTCATAAAAACTTAATAAATTTCATGAATTTGAATAAAGTTTAGAAACTAATACAAGAAAAAAATATGAAAAGTATTGTACAAATAAAAAATAACCAAATAGAACAAAAACCAAAAATAAAAACCGTACAATGACGTGATGTTTTTTTAACCTTACATTTGCCATAGGGAGAGAAAAAGAAGTGGCCACAACAAAACCAACTCATCGCAGTGGTTATTGCCCCCGCGAGTGTACGAGGACTGCTGGATTTCGATCCTCCCACACGTGCTCCTATCTTTTTCTAGGTTAAAGAAAAGAAGGGGTCGAGCCTAGAGACAGCCGCTAGGGAAGGGGGGGGTGCGCCAAGTTGCAAAACGTACTGTAAAGGGCATTGAAGGCGCCAAATAGGAATTGGGGTCGGCAACCTTTGTCTTGTTTTTTTTTAGAAACGCAAGCATTTTCTTGCTAATCTTCAAGCAAAGATTTTGATCTTTGATGGACGCTTGTTTTTTTTTTTTTGAGTGGTTGATGGACGTTTGTTGGGTTGCTTGATTCGCTTGGTAGGCCTGATGGGCTTTATATACATAGTACATCCTCTGAGTTTCGCCCGCACAGCCCACACATGCCCACATGCCCTGGGCTGACTCTCGGTGTCTGATTGTGTGCGGAGGAGATCGAACGCGAGAGCGATCCAACGGTTTCAAGAGACCTTTCGATCTACTCCCTCCGTCCCGAAATTCATGTCGCAGCTGTCATTTTGCAATTTAGTCCTCAGCCTTCTCCCGACCGAACCCGAAGTCCCTCTGCGTGGTCGCTCTCTTCCTCCTTCCTCTCCGACCGGCCGGCACCACCGACGCCGTTTCCCTCCGCGCAGCTCCACGCTGCCTGCGCCTCCTCCCCCTCCCCCGCAGTTCCTCTCCCTCCCCAGCGCCGGCGCCCTCTCCCTTGCGCGCGTTACCGGCGCTCTCTTCCTCTCGCATGTCCCTCCGCATCGGTAAAAAACCGATTTTCCCCCTCCGGCTCTTCGATCTGCAGCGGTCGTGCTCAGTCTGCGGCGGAGACTACCAATACGGCGCGACAGAGCTACTTCTGCCGGTCGCCTGCACGGGGCTGCTGCTGCTTGTCGTCAGGCGAGGAGCTCATCTCCTGCAGCCGCGGCTACCTGGCCGCCTTCGTCATGCTCATCCAGCATCAACACAGGTCTGACTACGACGTGGCTACGGCCCACGCAGCAGCGGCGGCGGGATGGTGGCGGCGAGCTCCGACATGTTCCTCCATCCGCTCTAGGACTCCACCGCCAAGCACACCAACCTCAAGGTCTGTTCCTCGTCGGTATTGTAGATTCTTTGCTTGCTTACACAGATGCTTTCATACTGATTGGCCTCGGGACAACAGATTTTCTTGAGTACACGTTTGCTTGCATACTGATTCATTGCTTGCTTACAAATTTGCTTGAGTACTACAGATTCTTTGCTTGAGTAGAATTGATTGGGCTGCTACAATAGAATTGCCACACAATAGAATTGGCCTCACTGCTGTAGATTCTCTGAAACAGATGTTGTAGAATTGGCCACACAGCCGTGGAATCTCTGTCACAGATGATGTAGAATTGGCCTCACTGCTGTAGATTTCTGATGTCCTTACCTGAAACTGAATATAAAGTCAGTTTAAAAGTCAGTCTCCTGATCTGAATATAAACTTTCTGAAACTGAGATTGAAACAGGTGCAGTCGTAAAAATTCACTTTAAAACTCAGTTAAAAATTCAATTTTAGAGCTTGGATCCTGATCTTTATATAAAGTGTACTACAAGCTTATTGCAAGAAAGTTTAAAATTCAATCTAAAATTCAGTTAAAGTGATCTGAATATAAAAACTCTTGGAGTAAAAATTCAGTCTAAATGTCAGTTAAAGTTTCAGTTTTAGAGCGTTGGGATTTTATTGCAAGGAAGTTTTGTACTGTCATACAGTAATTTTCAGTTTGTAAAACTGAGAAGTGTATTTTCTATTTTGAAACTTAGTGTAGCTATTTTCAATTTTGATGGAAAATCAGTCTAAAAGTCAGTCTAGACTGCATTTAATCAGAAAATGTTGCATCATCATGCACGCATGTATCCCCTACTTCATCACCATTCATTTCACCACACCACTTGCTTGCTGATCTTCACAGGCATATGATGTGCACCCTTGGTCGCCCGGTCCGACGAACTGCTAACGAAACAACGCCCAACGTCATGAGTGTGCTCACGTTCTGCAATCAAGCAACCGCCCTTCTCCGTTCTCCTCCAGCAGCAGCAAAAGGTTTTTGCTCTCCCTTGTTACTGAATTTAAACTGGAGAGTGGAGACATCATTTAAGTTCTGAACCTTGTTCTTTTCAACCTTGTTGCTCTGTTGGAACTTTACACTGGCCACTCATCTAGCGCCACATGGATGTATGTTCCTTGGTCAATCTTTTTACATGGATGCCTCATTTTTTTGGTAGGTTAAACTTTGCAATCGTTTTTTACGGTAAGGAATCAACCCATCACCCACATGAAGTTAGCTAGCTGGGTGATCCTGATCCAAATGAATTAAAGGTGACCTCCTCAAAGTAGTCCAAAGAGAACCTTGCAAGTCCAAGAGAGAACCACCATACTTGGCAAAAATGGCAACATCAATGTCAATCAACAGCATCTAGGCATTTGGACGATAAAACAACATCAATATCAAAGAATTTGAAGATGCCTCAAAGCATACTTTAGCAAAAAGAACACTGGAGGTAAAAACACAAGCAGGAAACACCGTGGTGTTTGTCTGAATTTATTTCCTGCACATCAATTTTTTTTCTCAATGTCTGTAGAGGTTATGCTTATGCTATTGAATTTTAAATTGAACGCAATTATCATTTAGATGCACATTTGAGGGCCTGCAGTTGGTTATTTGGTTGTCCCAAACTTGAGATCAATGCAATCACCTACCTTTAGTTCCATTACTATTCCATTTAATAGCAGAAAAAGAGCATACAGTTTTGTCCATTAAAGATAAACACTTCCTTCAGTGTTCACTGTTCAGAATGGGGGTTAGCTTAAAACTGTCAGAAATGTTGATGTCTAGGAGGAACTGGAGCGACTCTGCTTGCCGGATGAGATTTGAGCACGAAGCTCCTTAACTCGAAGGCCGGAGTGAACAAACATCCCAGCAATCATGTGCTGCCAAGGACACTTAATAATCTCGAGTGAAGTTGGAAGCCATTGGATCTTTTTCGAACTGCAACTAGCAGGACATCAACTCCAAAATTATCAAGTGCATTCCTAGAAAATTATCTGATGATTAAAAGAAGAAAATCTTGTCTGATTTTGATCTGCTCCAAAATTAACAGTGAATTTGATTGAATTTCAGAGAGTGCAGAGGAGGAGCAGCAACAACAACACGGGCACGGGAGAAGCAGGCGACAGGGGAGAATCACGGGAGACAGCAGAGCTCCACCAGCAGGAGCTCGAGGAGAAGCAGCAGTGGGAGCTCGGGAAGAAGCAGCAACCGGAGCTCAAGGAGAAGCAACAGGGGGAGCTCGAGGACGCGCGGGAGAGCAGTTCTGGGCGGAAGCGCGGATCTTGGCGGCGGCGCATGTATGGGCGGCGGCGGCAGAGCAGTTGGGCGGCAACGCAAGTCTGGGCGACGGGAGGGGATCGAGGCGGCGGAGGCGACGCCCCTAGGAACCGCGGCTGGAGGGGACCGCAGCTGGCCGGCGCCGGCCCCTCTCGGACGATGAGCGGAGGAAGAAGACGGGGCGGAGGGGTCTGTTTGAGACAATTTTGAGATGACGAGGTTTTGTTTGCAAATTTACCAATGAACTGGGCGTGCGACATTAATTTCGGGACGGAGGGAGTATATAAATACGGGACCGGCGACGCACACAAACCCTAATTCCAGAAACATCCCCTCCGACCTAGGCTATGGCTTTCATCGTGTCCAAGCTCGCGCGGGCAGCCCTCGCATCCCGCCCCGTTGGCGATATTGCTGGTGGCATCTCCCCATGTCTCTCCCGGCTCTATCTGGCGGCTTGGACCAGCCGTCGCATGTTTGCAGCTTCTGGTAATCCCTATGTTGAGAAAGCTTTTTCGGAATTTGGATCTGAATCCCGATTGCCGAAATTTTCAAAGGAATTCTCTTACTTGGATCTGAATTTTATATCTGAAATTCCCGCATTATGTTTATAGCCCTTTCAGAATTTGGATCTGAATTCTGAATATATAGGAATTCTCCTTACTTGGATCTGAATTTAATACCTGAAATCCCCATATTATTTCCTATTATAAGTAGATCTATTTGAATAAGCATGTTCATTCGGACATCTAGCAAGGATATTGTTTATTTACTTATGCCAGCTGCCTTCAATCAAATCAATTCCGCTGAGAGCAATAGTAAAAATGATTGTATTTTTCTGCGTACCACAAATCAAATTGTAACTATGTGCTTCTGAACGGCAGGCGGTCCCATGTCAAAAGATGCACCCCGAATATTTCCCCTTGTTGATGAGAATTCCATTAAGTCGAAGGAATCCCTATGGGCCTTGTATGAATGCTGGTGCAAGTATTGGGGGGTATCCCGTGACCGTGAAGAGATGGTCCGCCGGTTCAAGTCATTTGAGGCTACTGCACAGTGGGTTTACAAAATGAACAACTCTGAGTGTTCGCAAGTGTCTCAACTGGGCCCGCATGCAGATATGTCAGAGAGGGAGTTTGCTCAGCTGTTTCCTCCACTTCCTGAGGATGATGATGAAGACATAGAAGTGCTGGTATGATTGTTTTCTTTATTGCCTTGTCTTTCTGCTATTTTTAAATAGCAGTTATTGGACCAGTGGTTACCTACTATCTACTTAACCACAGGCATTAGTAAGAAAAATCAAGTTAACCACTAGGCATTAGGAGGAAAAATAATCTAATCTCTTTCCGACCTACCCCTGTGTAGGTTGTATACCAAGTTTTCCTTCAGTTTTAGGTGTTCTGTGCGTTGCTTGGTTATATTGGTTAATCTGGTTTTAATAAGAGCTATATTTCCTGTATTTACATGCATGTCTTCTGTCTGTGCAAATCAAGATTTTATATATAGTGAACATGTCTGACGGTTTGGTTTTTGCTTGGGTGAAGACGGTTCTTTCTCCACCATAAACATTTGTTATCTAGAGTCCTGCACTAGACCCTCGCTAAATTCTGTAAGAAAAGTGTAGGGCATAAAAGTCATTTGTGTGGTTGAGCTGCTTAGATCATCAATATTACATGGTTAAGCATCGTCATCAACAACTATGACCAATTTCTACTGTAATCATGAGAAATAGGTGGCTGGCCCACATGTCACATATCCAAATCCAGGTGACGTTAAGGCACTGAAGCTTCGTCTTCATTGCTGATATGATTTTGGGAGAGAGGATGCAATTAGTTACCCATCAATCTTTTGCTCCTACTACATTTTTTACTTCCTGAGAAAACCCTACACAGGCTCAAATTTTGATCTGTTTTAAAGCCTCCATGGCCATGGAGACTCAAGCTTTGCCAGATCAAATTTTCAAATATATATTAAATATTTATGTTATTTTAGGTATTTTGTTATGGTGAAAATATCTGCAACAAGCGGACAACTAAACGGAATTTATTTCTCTGTTCTAGCAGTAGTTGTTCATTTTTTTTTTCAAACACTTGAAAGAAGTGTCTTCATTTTCCAAAATAATTTATCACATCTATATCTCTCTACGTTTGTTCAGTTGCCCGGTGAAGATTTGGGCCAGGAGCTTGAGGAGCCCTTAAATAATTAAACTATGAACTTGTCTTACTCCATCCGTTCCCAAATATAAGTCTTTCTAGAGATTCAACATGTGACTACATACGGAGCAAAATGAGTGAATCTGCACTCTAAAATATGTCTACATGCATACGTATGTTGTCCATTTGAAATGTCTAAAAAGACTTGTATGTAGGAATGGAGGAGTATTTGGTTGTGGTAATACTGTGGTACTGGGATTTTTGTTGTTATCTGGTTGTTCTCATGGAACCAAATTAGAATTGAAATAACTTTGTGTTATTGCTCTAACCACCTTTGCATTATGTGCTTGAGAACTCGCATGAATAACCTGTGATGGTTAAGCAGGGTCATTAGATAATCCGAATATCATAGATGGATGATTTTGAATGTATGTGTCCAATATAAACAATGATACAGAAGTAGCAGTAAGAGTCATGCGGGGCAGCGTTCTGAGCGGACGCATGGTGTGGAAACAGCCGTGTGCTTCGTGGGCCCAACGTGTAATCCTTTTTTCGGCTTGTAAGAATTTTAAAAGGAAAATTTGAAGGTACGAATTCCACGGGGTTTTTCATCTTTGATGTTGTTAAAACTAATTAACCCCAGCGGTTAGTTAGGGGAATCCCCGCATTCCCGCACCATGCGTGCGGTTGACGGTTGCTCGTCTCCTCCCGATCGACGCCTTTTGCAACGGACGCTTCTCTTGGATGCATCCTTCCCGATTGTATATATACATGAACATGATCAATAAAGATGACACTTGAATCATTTTGCTTTCTCTCGTTCTACACTAAACACGTTATCAGCACGCTCGTAACCGAGAGCACCAGGCCTCAAAACTTGCCGCACCTCGGGCCCTCGTCGCCGGCCGTGGCCACGTTCGCCCGCGCCGTGGCCGTTCCTGGCTGTGTCAGTGCCGCTCCCCGGCCTCCGCGTGCCGCCCGCGCCAGGCCGTGGCCGCACTCACGCGCCCGTCTGCACCGCCGGACTTGCGCCTTCCGCGCCGCGCCCCAGGCCACGGCCTCCATGCTGCGAAGCGCCCCTGCGCCCGGCTGCGCGCCCTCCTGCCCATGGCCGCTGCCCGGCCGTGCCGCGCTCCCGCGCTCAGCCGCGGCCTCCTGGCTTCATGCCCGTGGCGTTCGCAGTACACGCTGACGCCAACGCGGGCTGGAGCAGGCTCGCGGAGAGGCTTTACGGCCGCACCATGGCCTTCATCGACCGCTGCGCCGGGACTTGAGCATCGTCCAGCCGGACGACGTCGTCATAATCGACGACGACGACGAAACCGCCTGCGCCACGCTCCGGCGCTCGCCGCCGTCTTATCGGCCTTCTCCTAACGACCTCGCCGTCGAGCAGCCGCTCCGGCGCACTGGTACATGGAGCCCCTAGAGCGAGAGGATTTCTATGGTAGTCTCCGTGAGTGAGGGATCCAGCGCTGGAGATTTCATCTCTAGTGGGGACTTGTTTCCTTATCTCTTCGGTTGACCAGACCGTGGGCTGCCACACATGCCTTCACGTGGCATACGCGCATGTGGCTGGTAATTAAGCCATGGCCCACGAACGGCTAAAACATGCCATCTAGCACATTTCAGCTTTTAGTTCATTTGTGCTTTAACAGTATTTTTAAGCGATGGTTAGTTCCCGCTTTAAACTGTTAAAATCAGTACATCTAGTACTGTCTTTTGTTGAATATCAACGTATTCCAGATCCTAAATTGATGTTATATATCTTCATGTTTAACATGTGTCGAGATTAATTACATCTATTTGTAATTGAGATTTTTAATCTCTTGCATACATAAATTCAGTACTTCTATAGTACTGTTTCTCCGTTGAGTACAATGTAGTCTCCGTGAGTGAGGGATCCAGCGCTGGAGATTTCATCTCTAGTGGGGACTTGTTTCCTTATCTTTTCGGTTGACCAGACCGTGGGCTGCCACACATGCCTTCACGTGTTATACACGCATGTGGCTGGTAATTAAGCCATGGCCCACGAGCGGCTAAAACATGTCGTCTAGCACATTTCAGCTTTTAGTTTATTTGTGCTTTAACAGTATTTTTAAGCGATGGTTAGTTCCCGCTTTAAATTGTTAAAATCAGTACATCTAGTACTGTCTTCTGTTGAATATCAATGTATTCCAGATCCTAAATTGATGTTATATATCTTCACGTTTAACACGTGTCGAGATTAATTACATCTATTTGCAATTGAGATTTTTAATCTCTTGCATACATAAATTCAGTACTTCTACAATACTATTTCTCTGTTGAGTACAATGTATTCGAAATATTTCTATGATGTATCTATTTCCATGTTAAACACATGTCGAGATTAATACGTCTATTTGCAATTGAGATTTTCAATTTCTTGCAAATATAGATGCAAAATTCTTAGTGATTTCCTCAAATTGATGTATTGAGATCACAAGGTAGTGTGTAGATTTACTGCTTTGCAGATTATCACCACTACAGTTAAAGCCTATATTTTGTCATTTTGACATTATGATTGCTTGACAAAGTGCTCTCACACATATTTTACTATGTCGTGACATAAGGCATTACGAGTGAGTATCTGCTGATTTCATGAGATTATACTCCATAGTGCTCCGAGATCTACTCCATTTTAGAGATTATCTTCGAGATGTCATACTTAGCAATTTGAGATTCACACTAATGGTTTCAAGCTAAGTTCTTGAAATATCCATTAATTTTGCAAAATTCTTTACAACACTAACCATGATGGTCTTTAATTTACTACTCGTAAATTAATTATCTCTGGTTTGCCCTATAAGTAATTGATGGCTAAGAGCCTGTTCGGTTGCTCTCCAGCTCCCAACTCCATCAACTCCAGCTTTGGAGCTGTGCCGAACGGGTTAACTCCCGGAGTTAAAGAAAAAAGAGCTGGGAGCGAAGCGTACTGTATTTTACGAGGAGCTGAGGAGCTAGACATCTGCTGCTCTCAAAAATCAAAGGAGCGAGAGTTGACTGGAATTACAGCTGCATGCCACCGCCAAGTGATCAAGCGTACCGGTTCGCTGCAGCTTATCACTCGAGCTGGGCCAGATCAAAGCCGAATCAGCTGCCAGCCCACGCCAGTGCTCCCGATCGCGAAGCTGTGCTGCCAAACGTTTCTGAACTCTGGGTTTTTTCAACGAGGAGTTGGGCGGAGGAGTTGAGCTGAGGAGTTGAGGATCTGAGGGGGCTAGAGGGTTGCCGAACAGGCCCTAAGTGATTTGAGGCGCTTGTCCTTAATGGCCACAACTTACTTAAGCGGGCCATGGACATCAAGATCAGTCTTGCCCCCATGGGATAGCGCGTGTAATCCAAGCCACACCACCGGGACGCAAAGAACCTCAAGGGTAAAGGTTTGAAACTCACTTCAAACCTTAAACCTCACACCATCATGGAAGTCAGTTGTTTGCATAATGTTCTTCTAGAACCAAGCAATGAAATGACTACCCTGCTGTCACGGGACCCTATGGGCACGGAGAACATGAAGGTTGAATATGCATCAACTGACATGTTTGGAAACTACATTTAGTCCCTCAATCTCCTTAGTGATCAATTTATTTATGTCCATTTCTGATGTTCTAATATGAACATGATTATTGTTGTCATCGTATATTGTATATCACAATATATTGTATCAGCACTTTGGTACAAATACATTTGTATGTATTATATATATTTGACAGTGATTTTCTTAAAAATCTTCATGTCTATATATAGATTTCTACGGGGGTCAATCTGATCAAAGATGACTTGTGCCTTGTGGACATATGCACCATGAACTCTATACTCAGGGAAGTAAATGTTTCCACTCTCGTTGAGAGAAAGGGCATATTCTAAAATCGCTAGACGCGATGAGGTATTTTTTGGCTCAACTCGAGTCATATTTACTATTCCTGTGGGTACTCGAGTAACGTCAGGATACTTTATTGCTTCCCAATTTAACTTGTATCCTACTAAACTATAGAGGTATCCGTCAAAATAGTTTCCATAGCGAAAC